GAGAAGTTTTATGGAGATAGTGTTGGAAGGTGAGTGGGTGGGGAATTTGGAGGGGGTAAAATATTCTTGTCTATTTATGCAACGACCCGTCCATCCAGTTCCTATTTCTCCATCTATCCATCCACCCCATATCCACCCATCTATCTATCTTGTATCCATCCATCCATCCCTTTTCCATTCATTTGGTATCCATCCGGTACCCATCCATCCATTCCGTATCCATTCATCATTCCTTCCTTTATCCATACCTCCACCCCTCTATTCCCATATGTGAGTGGGATCCATTTACTTAGTGTCTTTCACGGCTTCCCCTTCTTGTCTCCTCTTCCCATTTGATCTGTGTGTGTCAGTCACTTACTTCGCCATTGCTCAAGCTCATCAGAAGTGGATCACAGTGCTCCACTCTACTCAATAAGGGAGATAGCGACCTTCCTACCTTGATTCACCCCAGTCTATCTTTGCAACCATCCATCCAATGCACTCTACAGTGTTAGAGGTTGACCTACGGGGACACTAGCAGATGGTACAGTAGAGGCCATCAACAGGCTCTCCACACTGCAACCAGTTTTTCAAGTCTTTACATGCACTAGAGCAGGTCATTTCGCCAACATGCAGTGGAGAAAGCTTTTTTGAAACACGTGGCACGCCAGCTAGTCAGGCATACTCACCGACAAGATGATGAGGGATGGCAGAGAGATAAGGTAAAAGTCCTGACTCTGCTCAATCCACCGTCTAAAAGGAATTCTAGAAAATGACTGGTAGATTTAAGCAAAGGGCAGTCAATTTGAGGGACAATCAACAACTCACGTGTTGGGATGGTAAATCGCGTGAATGGTGGTCCAAATGGAGACGAAAATCGCCGGAATACCTGAGGAAAAAAGGGAAGAAAAAGGGAAACAGCAACCAGAATAAGTTAAGGAATATCTTTTGGCAGTTCAATGGATGATAGGTGCGAAGAAGTTACCCCATCCAAAGAGAGCGTAGTGCCAAATTCGGACTTGATGAAGACGAAAGGTCCAGTAGACAATATTCAATAAGTAGGCACCTTCCACAAACATCCAACAGAGCATTGCCAGACTGGCCCATGCTTGAACCGATGTTGTCGCGTTGTAGAGGTACTAAAGGTGGAGTAAAGAGGACGGCTTGAAGCAAATGGGTCATAATGTCAACGTTGGTAGCTGGAAGGAAGAGTAGAGCGGGCCTACGACCAACCAACTCCGTCGCCCTAGCGGGCGTGTGCCACATCCCTCCATCCTAATGGGCTTCTAGCCTCCATCTTACAGAACCAAAAATCAAAAGTATGCAACTTTCTTTCACCATTAAAGAGAGGTACTCCGAACGTTGCCTGGTTAACCAATTAGCTACCAATGAACCGACAATACCGTGTTGTAAACCCAAGGTTCACATGTGCAGGCTTCCAACGACTCGATCTCATAAAAAGAAAGCTAACCATGAAGGAGGCAACCATACTCCTCCCGAGGAGGATTAAGACCCCCATCCACTGACCCAAATTGCGCTTTAATTTATCACCCTGGATCCGTAATACGGCGGAGACCAAAGGTCCTCCTTTAACCGATCTAGTAGGTGATAAGTCGCCTCCCAGTGAAATGGATTAATATTCAGCCGAGAGGAAGAACTTACTGGAACAGAGGGAAGGAGTATTAGCCTGAATTGAAAGATTTGATTTTTAGGTTCCAA